CTAAGTGTAAATACTGCATTTCACAACTTACACCGAGACATGCATTGGTGTCTAGATAAAGGGCAGATAAATGCTCTGATGATGTACTTGTGAGTCAGTTTCAGTTCCGTTTGCACAGCTTAAAAAGCCTCAGCTAAAGGGGCGAGTAACAGCAATGAGTGGAGACGCAGTGACAAGCTTTTATGACGAATATTTAAAAGATAACAGGCGTTTTTGTTTTCTGTGGGAGGTGCAGCGAACCAACCTGTGTTTCTCTTGAGTGGCCTCTTCTAATGTGGCTTTTTTGCTCTCTGGCTCCCCATCGTCCTGCTCTCGCCCCTGTAAGGACATCAAAGTTATTAACATTACCGGTATTAATTGTTCATTATTCTTACAGTACAAACTAGAAAAAAAAAAACACTAAAAAATTATTGTAATCTGCCCTGAAGAATCATTTTGTAACATATGATAAGAAAATGAAGATCATTTTGTCTTTTATATTATTTACATAAACGAAATGTGTTGGCAGTGGCTGGTGAAAGTGAAGGTATGTATGTGGTCATTTTAGCTCCAGCACCATAGAAAAACATGGTGCTGTTTGCATAGAAAAACAAACTAATATCTGCTTGTTGTCACTCATCATTTGAGAGTCAAATAATGAATTTACATTTTAAGCTGCATTATTTCTTGACACTGAGCTATTCAGGAGAAGTAGTTCATAAACCCTGAGAACTCCATCCATTCTCTTATGCTTATCCTTATCAGGGTTGCGCGGGAGGGCGGTTGGTTGCTGGAGCCTATCCCAACTACAATATGGCAAGAGGCAGGGTACACCCTGGACAGGTCGCCAGTCTGTCGCAGGGCTAACACATAGAGAAAGACAAACATTCGCACTTTCATTTACACCTATGTGTAATTTAAAATCAGCCCCACTAATCCAACTCTGATTACTCATCCTGATCATTTAAAGCTTTGTTTCTAGTCATGATGCATCTGAGATGGTGTCCCACACTAAACCTTTCATTTGTAAACAACAGTGTAAGTGAAGAATGAAACAGGCTTGCAGAAATTCCGAAAGCACAATATTGAGCCCATGTCACATCTTGTAACAAAGGATATCAAACCACTCCCAGCTTACATTTTCCTGAAGAGACTTCCTGACCACCTGCTAGAACAATTCAGGGTACTGGCTCATTCTTGAAGTGCAGCACAAACGGAAAACAACGACACACTGCAGGAATGTCAATGATCATTTATCGGCTGTTGCTAGCAAAACTAGATAACGTTTGCTTAGTGAAAGTTGTGATCCAGCTTCCAAAACAGTAGCTTTCGCATTGAATGGGCCTTCCTGTTGCAAAATGAATTCATAACTAGAATTGAAACTCTGCCATAGTGGCGGGCAATGATTGTGTAACCTTTAAATTGTTCAACACAGACTGCAGCCCTGTGGAGGAGTGACAGAAAATCTGGTGCAACATCCCCGTCTGAGTCCTGTAGTCCAAGAGCCGAGGTGTGCTGAAGCAAATGCAGCGTCAGTTCTGATTGTACATGATGAAGAACTCATTCTCAAACACATCTAACACACTGCTTAAATTTACTACACAACTGACTGCTTTGATTTATTCTCGGCATATTTAATAAAACTGAGGTACCTGCATACTTTACTCAAAATCCTCCAAATAACAGGGATTCCGAATTTACCCTACCGTATTTTTTTAACCAAGGTTTCTCCAACTTTCACCATAAATAATGCATTTTTTTAACTAGCAAGTTTATTTTTTGTTCCATTTACACTGCATCAGTATTGGTAAATGAGAAACAAACAATATCTGAAAACTATTTATTTATTTATTTATTTATATGTAGACTATAGTGGCAATCATCATTGTTTTCTTCTTCCTCAGGGTGCTCAACACAAACATACACTAACACTCACCTGATTCACTGATACACTCTACATGTATATACCATTAATTCCGCACTAAAGCTGCTACAGTATTTTTAGTAAATATATTTTCTTTATTTATATAGTTTATCTTATTTTTATCCAAATGCTACTTATCTGCAACTTTACATTTCTATGCGCTATTCTGAGGGAGCTCTGAGCCTAAGAATTTCATTGCCGGTAGTAATGTGGCATTGTTACCTGTATATGACAAATAATCAGAATCAGAATCAGAATGCTTTATTAATCCCGAAGGAAATTAGGGTTACAGCAGGCAGCACGCTAATGGCGCATGCGCACTTACAAAGGAACCTTCTGACCAAACCTGAACTTTGGCTCGATACTGTGGTATCTGACTTCCCAGCCCATTGTTTCTTCAGTGGTGCTAGTTTCAGTCATTATGCAAATGTACTGTTTATAAGATTGGGAAAACCTGCAGTCATCTGAGACTGAAGAAGTCACTTGGATGAGTGATGAAACGTCCAGATGAACAGAATTAACTTTTGGTGATACTGTGGGACTCATTTCAATTTCTTTATTTACATGAGTGTTTGAGGTTGAAGTTTGTGATGAAGAATATTTATCCATTTATGCTTAATTTCTTTTATTTTATGTATAGTTAAGAAAGATTAGAATGAACGAGCTGTGGGCAACGTTTTTCAGAAGTGAATACCCACCCACCCAAGTTTTGAGCCACCCTCATGTCTTCATATGTTAATAGGAAAATAAGAAAGCACAGTTTGCACAATTCTAACAGTCTTGAAAGTCAATATTTGGTATGACCCCTTTTATTCAACACAGCCTGAGCTCTCTTCGGAAAGCATTCTTGTCATTTCTTTAAGTAGTCTTCAGAAATAGTTCTCCAGGCTTTTTGGAGGACATTTAAAGCTCTGCCTTTTTTTCTGGTTTCTGTCGAGACGATCCCACACTCCTCATGTTGAGATCTGGTCTGACTGACAGTGCTTCATTGTGTGTTTTTCCATCCAGTGATATTTTTAATGCACTGGCAGCTTTTTGAGATCACTGTAGTGCTGAAAAGCAAACCTGTTCCCAATGAGACACTTTCCATGTGATTTTGCATTGGGGAACAAAATGCTACCTTTCCTTTTTCATAACTCCATCAACTTTGACAAGATCCCTAAAACCACTGGCTGAGCTGCAGCGCCAAACCATGACACGGCTTCCACCGTGGAAGCAAAAAGGAGAAATGATGGCCCAAGACTCTTGCACAGTATTGTAAACTGGGTCGTAAATGATCTATAGTCAAACTGACTGTAGTTAATGTACAGCATCTGATGTAGTATCACTGTAACTGCCTTTGAGAAGCGGTTTTAATTTAACTGTCGACGCTAGCAGTGACCTAACATGAAAATAAAACACAACGAGAATGTCACGGTGCAAGAACAATCGCATGAGATTAGAATAAATTCAAAACATACCAGTAAAATAACAATTAATTACTAAAACTGTTTACATTTAAACGAATTTATCTTAACTTTGACAGCTCACTAACAAAGCTACGGGCTAAAAATAAGGCTGATTTTACACACGAGTATGCTAATGTTAGCTAAAAGCTAAGTCTGCTAACGGCACCTCAGTGTCAAAATGACGGGGTTTCTGTGGCCTGTGCTACACTTTGCAACATACCGCCAACGCCATAAAAGAAACTTACGTGAAGCTGTTTCTCTCTTAGCGCCTTTAGCCTCTCCTTCCTTTTTAGAGCCTGTTCCTGAAGCGACCCAACACTTTGCTCCATGTTTTTAGCCACACGCCGCTCGATTCTCTCTGAAATCTACTCATTGTCCTGATCGGACAAAAGAAGTCCATAGAGCACATCGATTGCGATGCCTTTTGCCTCATCATGTGATTTTGTTATTTATTGTGTTCATATTTTTAAATTCACAATCATCCGTAAGTTTGACTTGAAACCTGAACGAGAATTATTTAAAAACCAAACTCTTGCTTACAATAATGCGACCCCCAAATAAATAATTAAAACATACTTTATAAATAAGATGTATGGGGTCAATGTTAGTTGTATCATCAAGTACCTTAACTAATGTAACTTTCAGCAGCTTACAAGCTATCTTTGAATGGCTTATTTCAGTCTATTTTAACGATATTGACAAACCTATATTTATATATTAAACGTAAAACACGGACTTGTACACAGACCTGCCTGCTGATGGTCCCAGTGACAGGTCCTGGTTAGGAATGTAGGCCATTGCCATGGTAATACAGCTGCCTCGAGCTTCACCCTGTCTATCCTCCTGATCGAGAGTGTGTATGACAATACAAACCTGCTGCTGTTAATGAAATTACCAAGGTGGTGATCATAAAACTAGTAGGGATACGATTTATAAATCAATAAATTGACCATGTGCAATAAACCATGTTATTGCTCAGTCAGGGGACAAACATACTTCTGACATGCATTCAGCATAGAGCGGAGAGGAAACATTGTCATTTACGGTAATTCCGTAAAGTAATATTTTACAAAATAAAACATTCCAGTGTGTATTCATTTTTTGTTCAAGATAAAGCCGTGTTTTTTTCAGTATACCCCTCATACTTGCAGGAGTAAATGTTTTGAATCTTTCACCTACGTATTATTTCAGTTTTTAAGGACTAACGCAGCCACAGTGTCTCTTTATCTGATCACAATAAGGAATATAGTAAGGACCCACTGTGAGCAGCTGTCATCGGAACTGAAAGTTGCTCGCCTTAAAAACTGACAGTTTCACCCCTACACCCGTAACTACACAACGCAGGCTTTTATTCAATAATCGCGTGAGAGTTTGAGCACTCAGTCTTCTTTGCACATTTTTTTAATGGTTATTTATTTTATTTGTACGGAAACGTTTAAATGATAAAAACTTTGGGGGCAGCTGCATTCATTGCTCCCGGGTGACAGTCAGTTAGTGAGATCAGCCCTCGAGCAGGCAGTGTTTATATGTGTGTGTGCCTTTAAGAATATCAGCCTACCTGTGAGCATGATCTAGAGAACTCTTCACCGCATTTCTTGTCTTTTTTTTTTTTTTTTTTTACAGGGTTACACACTAGTTGGTGATAATTTTCTCCTGATTGTCACACAGCGTTTAGGATCGTGCACCGCTCCAGACCGAGTCCGCAGGGGCAGCGCATTAATTTGTTGGTCTTGAGCGGATGGCATCTGTCGCTTCCGTGGGAACTCTCTCCAACAGGAATCATACGGCAGCGAGCTCGCTCTAAATGCGGACATGGGTGTTTCTCCAGACATGCATTTCCACGCATTTGTGTTCCTGGTTGCACAGTTTGGGCAGTGACCGCACCGCGGCCACATCCACACCGTCATGTTTTGCTTTTTCACGTCACTCTGACAACTTTGTGTGTCGAGACTGGAGAGCACTTTTTTTTTTTTGGGGATTACTGTGCCCGAATTTGCAGGAATGGTTCACCCAGGAGCGTGCTGCGTCCTCCTGCCTGTAGGAAGCAACTTCAGACAGCCGTGGCTTTGACCATCTTTGCCAGTTTCATGATCTTTTAAAAGAAAATAAAGGAAATCATGAGCAACCACAAGGGCGGCGGAATGGCATCGAAAGAAAAGCTGTATGAGCTGTGGATGTTATATTACACTAAGGTGAGTGCAAGTGCGGAAGAGCTGACCGTGACACCTGTTGTTGCCACAGGTCCCTTGCCTGAACTTTATTGTGACCCCTAAATACATGGTCATACTCTGCGTGATTCACGGTGTGTGTACAGGGTCGCTCTTTGAAAAATCGAGGTTTTATTGAGGAACTCGCGTATTTTTTTCTCCTGCTTTTACAGTGACGCTCTGTTAATAGCCGAAGCTGCCTTGTGCACACTATAAAATAATATCATGTCACATTGATGCGCCTCTAAGCTGTCCCCAATTCGAAAGTAACGCGTAGAAAATGGCATTTGAAGCTGATTAACCACTTGTTCGAGTATCCGTTGTTATACCTGTGATGCAGGTGTTACTCGGACTACTTCCTCTTCCTGTTTCTGCTGCTTGCCTGTCTCCCCTACTGAAAGCATGCGCCTTTTAAACTGTTGGAAGACCCTACTGTCATGTATTACTTGAAGCATATGCTTAGGTTTTGCACGCAGCAGCACTGTTACGCAGTAGCCAATTGCTTTCCTCTCTCCGATGTTGAATTGACTGTCAAATTTGTTTGTGTGGGAGTTTGGTCTCAGATGTTGTCCCCTGTGGGCGTGAGTGCAGCTCAGGTTTCTGGATGTTTATTAAGGTGTAATATATTGCTAATATGGATGAAAAGAAATTAACTGGAGTAAAATATTGCAAATGCTTTCATATCATGTTCCTACTTGAAGAAAGAAGACAGTTTGGTTGGGTATTATTATTATTTAATGAGTTTGCAATCTGCTTCCATGCCTGAGGACACAAAAAAGAAAAAGAAAAAAGAAGAAGAGGAGCGTTTTTTTTTTTTCAAGTTTGTACGCGCTGTATCTCATCATCACAGCAGATCTAAAGGGCTAGTCTCTTGACAGTGATAAAGCCTTCTCAAAGAGTGGCTCATGTTTCATTATGTATCTCACTGAATGTTGTTTTAATGAAGGGCTTAATCCCAATCTTGGAAAGCAGCCAACGACTTTCTAGAAGAGTGAAGTCAAAGGTGGACAAACTGCAAACAAACCCTAATAAATGCATCACCGATGAAGGTCAACAGTGCATCACCTTTTGCAGCATTTACTGTCAAAGTGGTGATTGTGGTCGCTCTGGGCAGATCCCAGAGGAAGTGTGTCTAATCCACTCCTCTGTGCTCCTCCTGCTGCTGCATGTAACTGCAAAGTTACTGAACTTTTCTGGTTATGCAACAAATAAAACAAGTAGTAGGTGCTGTCACAATCCATTGCTAGAACAAATCATTGGGGGGGGTGTGTCTGTGAGGTAGGGAGGGGTTGCCCTGAATCTGGCTCCGTCAGCTGTCTCACATCTCTATGTGCAAGATCACTTCCTTATTAAGCTGCCTCTTGGCTCCGTGTCGCTTTCCTTCAGTTGCCCTGAAGCCTAAAAGGACCAGAAGTTTCCTCCTTTGACTTTAAGAGTGGCACATGTTTTCACAGCATTCTTGAAAGTGTACTTTTCACGTGTGTAAACGACATACCCCGTTGCTCGAGCGGGATTTGATTTGAGCTTAAATGTCACCGCCTTATGTGACTCAGAGGAGCACAGCAGGCCGTGGAAAGGCAGGAGAACCACTACAGAGAACAATCACTGGCCTCTCCTACAAACACCACCATGTCATTGTATTCAGTGTTTTTGTTACCCGCCTGTTAGTCAGGTAGACACAGACAATATCATCTTTTAGCACACAGCCCATCTCTGACTCACAGACCTTGTTTGTAATTTGTCACACTAAAGAACGTATTGACTGTTGTAAATCAGTCAGATGGACAAGAAACCTGAGCTTTATTCAACAGGGGGTTTTGTCAAAGCTGTAAATAAGCCCTCGGCTGTTTTATGCCCTGTAACACGTCTCATTTTAAGTCCGAAAGCGCCTTACGTGTCCCTGTTTGTGACACTGACAGATTTGTTATATTGGTTTAGAAATGTTGTGCATTTATCACCTCCTTTGTGCACCCTGACAAAACCAAAACTGGTGTACTCAAATTTTCAGTGACCTTATATTGTCCCGTGGAAGTTGTTAAGTATGTCACAGCGACTTCATACATCATAACAATCTATTTCAGCATGTTTGAGTAAATGTGGTATCTCCAGCCTTTAATCTGTATTAGAAAGCACATCTTGTCATTGATAAAGGAGGTCCGCCTCCTCTGACTGTGCAAAAAAAATCACATTTCTTGCCAGACCTTTAGATCAGGAGCTAATGTAAATGTGTAATAGACATTGTGATTGAGTAGCGTATTGCGCTAAAGCCGGTGAAAAATGGTAAAAGTTCTGTGCAAGTGACTCCAAAAATCACAGGCAGACGATGATTTATAGGCTGATTATTTTCTCGATGCCAGCTTCCTATTATTCTGCCACATACTGTAGATCAGTAAATACCTGCACAGGCAATTTAAATCTAGACTATTTACTCACAGACAAGTTCTTGGTTTTCAGGGCTTGCTGATGTAATTTTGTCAGGAAATGTGCTGAACAAAGTTATAGTTAGGGCACTTTAAGATTTTGTGCAAGAGACAGGACGTGTTTGTGTCTTCAGTTTTGTGAGGCCAGCCTTTCCAGCACTATTTCATTGCTTCATATCTCACATCTAAGAATATTATATATAAGGCCATTATAAAATCCTCACGACTTGCGGGTATGGAGGTACGCAGAAGAGTCTGATCTAATCGCTCTGGTGCATAACTTGTCAGATCTTGTCTGGAAAAAATGCAAAAAGGTATTTTTCTTGGGCATGTTTGAGCTTTTCACCAAGTCAGGATGTAGTAATAACCAGTACTTTATCAGTTTTGTTGGTTTGATACAGATATATCTGTATCAATGTAATTGTTTGATTTATTGATCAATCAACTGGTGATAATAGTAAAAAGTTACGTTTGTATCTTCTTGTTTTCTATTTTGTCCAATTAAAACCAAGGACAATCACTTAAGAATAAATAGGCAGCGAGTAGTTTCACCAGAGTTAATAACATTGTTGTACTTACTCTTATTGTTTGAGTTCTCCTTAAATATTGAATCTTTAATTGACCTGTTGACCTGGTAAAAGTCAGGATAGTTCAATGAGTCATATTATCTTAAATAGCTGGTAAATATGCTTTCATGTTGTTACAAATGCATCAACAAGCACCACTAGGTACAAATGAAGTGATCAGTTGATGAGATGGCTGACATTAAAAAAAAAAGAATCAACAACTGCTTTAATAAGTGTTCAAATTAATATCCTGGTAAAAAAAAAAAAAACTTCCAGCTTTCACGTGTGAGAATTCTTTGTTTCCCCGTCATATTTGAAAGTACTACATAAAAAAAATCTGAGGATAGTAAACCATAAAAAGGTGGATTTTCAGTCTGTTTAGATAAGATGATCAATAAATCTTCAAAAATAAAGAAATAAAAAAGACTGATAGTTCCAACCTTTCAGGCTGCTCTAAGGCAGGAGTAAGCCTCCAATCACAGATGCCATTTTTCTGCCAAAAAGAGAAGCATCATTTTCAGCCAGTAAAGATGTGAGAGTAAGATATTAGTCTGGAAGAGAAATGGTGTGTTATTATTCTGTGGTCCATAGCTTGAGGACCTAATTAAAGCCTTGAGACGCAGCGCTGGGCCACAGCGTTAACCCAGCTGCCACCCATCAACAGCTGTGAAACCACCTCCTCAGATTTCTATGAAAAGAACAAATCACACATCCTTGCTTTTGTCCCTACACAGTCAGTCGTGCTACTGTGTGTTTGTCCCAGTTACTAGTGCTTTGATGCATGTCAGCAAACTGTTCTCAGAGATACATCCATCCCTGCAGCTGACGATATATAGCCCTGTTAGCCCTGTGATTGAATCCCCTTGTGTGCCTGGGCTCCCCTGTTTACCGACCGAACGGCTAACCAGGAAAATCAAAGTTCTCTTTGCTTTCCCTTGTGCAGGAAGCTGGAGCGAAGCTGAATGCCAAGCAGCACTGAGCGGCACAGCTGCTTGGCCATGTGCAGAGAAAACAGAGATAAATGACATGCTTTATAGAGGCCGATAGCTCGTGGTTGGTTTGTGACATTTGTTCTAATTGTGGTTTTAATTAGCTTTTCTAATTGTAAATGTGTCTTTGAACTAGTTGCTGTGGCAGCTTGTTGATTTAGCTGCGAGCAAATGATTCGGATTTGTTTAGAGGGGCTGGTCAGTAGTAAGTCGATATGGGAAGATTTTAGGAGTCGTTAAAGGTGGAGACATAAAGCAGTGCTGTACCAGAAGTCTAAGCCAGTTCTGTTTTATTAAAAAAACACGTTTTTTGGCGGGTTTTTATAAACAAGAACTGATTCAAACACCTGGTGTATCTGTGATCTCTGTCTCTCCCTGTTTTTTAATCATACACTAAAATCTACCTGTTGCAGAGCCAACCAATGTACCTGAACTGAATGCCACAGCCTCTTTAGTCAACAAGAAAGCATTCTTTCAAATTACAACTTGAAAACAAAGCTTGCTGCATGTAGTCATTTAGGCTGTCATTGCAGTTAAGCCTACACTTTATGAAGCATATTAGTGTGCATACTTGTGAATTCTATTCAATAATGAAAAATAAAAACCAGCTTTTAGATTCTTATCTTCGCCCCTCAAGTTTAAAATACCTAATTGTTCAGATGACAGAGCCACACAACAATAGGTTGTTTGTCATTTCCTGTTTTCGTTGAGCACACGCAGAGATTTTAAAATGCAGTTTGTGTATCAACTTAAAATCAGATGGGGGTTTTTCTGCATGTAAAGTTTAACCGCTTGAAGGCATCTAAAGTCAATTTCTCCAATTTCAAATGCAGTTTTTGTGACTTTATAGCATCCACCTACTGTTTCAGCTGAATCTGCTCACAGTCTTCTGGTCCCTGTGCATAAGCACAGCCAGACACACTTTACAAAAACAAACGCTAAATTTCAAAGTTTCTCCTGCAACATCCTTTTTTTTTTTTTTTTTTTTTGGCTAAATATAGGAATCATAAATGTAGTCCCGGTGCTTTATTGTTACTGAGGGATGTTTTTATAGAGGCCTCTCATCTATCTACACACAAGTTGCACTACAACCAAAAGAGGAAGGGGTTTGACGAGGAGGCGAGGATGAAGGAAATAAGCTTCAGTTAAAGTGACATGTAATTTCCTGGTTGCTCGCTTTACGCTTGAAGACAAAAAACGAGCGAGTCAGACGCTGCTGGTGGTCAGGAGTGATGTGCAGCTGAGTCGCTGACTTTTGTCTACGCCGACGGTTCATCTGAGACTGGGTTCGCAAGAACCCGGCACCCTGCTCAGCCGCATACAATGAGAGATGGACAGGCACATAAGTCAATGCCAGTTGGTAATGTACATTTCACATTAATGCAGCATTAGGAAAGGCATAGTTGCACAAAGGGTTCACATTATTAGATTTCTGCTACTCTTACTCAGGCAACTTAAAAATGCAGGTCTAACAGAACATGAAAGCATACATGTTGGAGAACTGTGCTGAACTGTAAGATTTTAATCACGCTGCTGCTTTCCCACACGAGCTGCAGCAAATGCTGCTCACTCGAGCCATTTCCCTGCTGGTTCAGGGGGAAGTACCTGATGAATTGTTATACCATGTGCTGTTTTTTATGTTATTTGTGTACAGTGAGTCAGGCGGTCTGAGACAGCTCATGTCTTCCTTCTAAATCGGAAAAGATGCAGCGACTGCGCTTACTTGCTTGCTCGGTTATCAGGACGCTCAGGTTGTTTTGCCACATGAACATCAGAGAACATTTCTGCACATTTCTCAGTTTTTTGAGTTTTTTCAGATTGAGTTTTGAAACTTTGCATTCTCAAAAGTAGGGCTACTTGTCTGAACTATCGAGGCTCATTAATAATGAGCCAGCTTTATATCAAAATCAAAGCATTGCTCATAAAAGAAAAACAGTTTAAAGTTGACCTGTTTCGCTCGTGACCTGCGTGTCATTTGTGTGTAACGAGATCAAGAGACTGTTGTGTGGAGGGAAGACTGACAGGATATGTTGCAGTGCAGAGACTGATGGTAGCTGTGATAGCAACTGTTGTATATAAACATCCTTGTACAAATGAAGTTGTCTTACATGACATTATAGAGGGCCAGTAATAAGAACATCTTGTCCGAGACGAGGATGTGCTCACGGTGAACAGAGGGCCGCTGTTGACGTTATGGGTGGAATTATGATTTGAAAGAAAGGGACATGTTGTTTTTGTTTCTTTCAACCTCCCCCGTGATGAAAAAGGAAAGAAATAGCTCATGTGTTCCTCTCTGTGAGAGTTGCATCTCTTTGCAACATCCTGTTACAAAAACCGGTCATAGCATTTTCTGTAGCCACCGTGTGTCAGAGTTTAGCGCTAAACCTTTCTGTTTGATACTACTTGGTCCAACTGACCACAAAGAGCTTGCTTTTATAGGTGGGCATTTTTCATGCCCTGTATTGTTTACTAACACTGTACGCCTAGAGGCGTAAAGGCCGATTTATTATAGCCTCACCTGTTTCTTCTTCCCTTCCACAGAAGGATGTGGGCTATCTGCAGCAGTGGCTGGAGGCATTTGTGGCATCCTTTGAGAGGCTCATTGATGTGCAGTCGCTGGAGCCTCGGAGGTGAGCGGCTATTTATTTTACACAAACTACAAAGCCACAAATTTCCACCGGTTTATATTCCGCACTGTGGACATAGGATGTGACATGTTTATGCTTCACGGCCTCTGCTGCAATCCCTCTTTGCTCTTACTTCCCTTCTCTTCTCTCATGTCCTCCTCTCTCATCTCCCAGGCTGGAGGAGTGCAGCTCAGAGGTACCCCTGCTCCCCCGGGAGGTCCTGGTGTTCCTTAGCACGCAGCTATGGCACAGTGCGCTACACCTCACCGGCGCTGCAGAGCAAAACAGCAGCACTCCACACCCACTGCTCCTCATCAAGTTCTTCATCATTGTTTGCAGGTGAGGGCACAGCCTGCTGTGCAAATGTGTTGTAATGAGAACTGTAAACATGTTGCGCAGTTAATGGGTTGTGCTAATCGTAGCGTTCTGTAAAACAACTTGCAGACGTTCTCACGACGATAGGCAGGAGATGACTAATTAGGACAGGCTACATCTCGGGTTCCAAATCATACGCTCGAATTTGCATCGCATGTCTCATGATGTCACCTTAGTTCACGCGGCGGGTGGAATTAAATCTTAACCACTATCAGTTCTCTTTATTCAACAGTCTGTACCAAAAAAAAAACAGGGTGTGAGGGGAACTGGGTAATTTCTATTTTTCACAGGTTTAGTTACGTTTTTGAGTGTTTTTTTTATTAAATCAGATTTGACTGGTGATTCTACTGTAGAAAAAAAAGTGCCCTCACCCCTTTCAATCTGTGAGACCTTTCCTAGCACCTTTCCTAACCTAATTCTATGAATTTCTCTTTACTTCTAGGAATATGGAGAACATTGATCCAGAGAAGACTCCTAGTTTTGTTTTCGAGATTATCAAACTTTTGAATTTCTGTTTAAACCAGGTAAGGCACTCATAAGCAAGATTTCAGTGACACAGTTTGGCTCCCCATACATGGACAAATTTGCTGAAATAGGATATGGAAGTAGAGATCCAGTAGGCTTACACAGAACTGGGTAGTAAAATATATATGCTTACCCTATGGAAAGAGAACTAGGCTATGGTTAAAAGAGAAGTGGGTGGGTGTGCAGTTGACCTTGTTTTCATTGTTAAGGAATTTGAAAGATGTTCAAACAGGGGTTTCTACTCTGATTATGAACTACAGATGATGCAAATGTGAATAAATGTGTACCAACTTTCATTCGATCAGTTAAAGAAGGGACAAGGGGAGAAATCGTCTCTGGAGTCGGTCGTGCAGTACGGACTTGTGCTGTGCGAGAGCCTGTTTGACCCTTATCAGACGTGGAGGAGACGCCTAGCAGGGTGAGTGTGTGTTACTTCAACATTGGACATTGCCTGCGTGAATGTGTGGGAGGTGGAATTTGGGCACACAAAGACTAGAAGAATACTATTATTTGCATTCAACGTCTTGCACAATCTTTTGTCACAGTAACACCTCATCTTGTTGCATTCACGTCAAACAAACCTCATTAGTACCAGCGGTTTGAGTGGCAGCCGCACACTAACTAGGCGTGATGTGAATGGGAGCGTGGTGACTCGAGTCTTTGTGTGTTACAGGGAGGAGGTGAGCTTGCTGGAGAGGAACAAGTATAAGTTCTCCCCGCTGGCCTTGCCAGAAGAGCTGCCTGCCCTCTTCCATGGTGAGACACTCCCTTTCAGCTGTTCTGCAACTCTGGTGTTTGTCAGGCTTCACATACCACAAGAATCAAACAGTTCCAAGTGAATCGCTGTCTGGGAATAAAAAAAGAAAAAATATATGTGTATGTAGAAATGGTTCAGTTGCTTAGCATGTTTACTTCGGGTAAAAAGAACTCAATTATTCTGCGTCTAATTATCAGGTCTCAATCAGCTGTCCAAGCGTTAGTAATTATAGAGTCACGTTTGCTCTAATCTGCTAGCCATGTGGGAAATCTCAGGCTGGACAAGTTTCAGTATGTCCACATTTTAGGAGGATTATCATAATACCAAGCTGTAATTGGCAGTGTTAAGGGGCTACTTGTGTAATACCGAGCCTATAAGAAAGGCTTAGGCTTTTCTGTTTTGCATAACTGTAAAACAAAGAAGGCACTCCAAGGGACTTTTTCTGAGGTGTTGTGGTATGAAGTTTTCTCTTTCATTTATTTATTTTTTGCTGTTGGTCATTTACTATAGCCCCGTGTGCTATTTATAGTGACTGGAGCCTGGAATCGGTCCCAGTATGCATTAGGGAAAGAAACAAACTAGAGAGGCTGAAAAGAAAATGTTTTTGCTTTAATTTAATTATATTTTGAGAGCACTGCATTTGTTTTCTGTCTTGTGGTTCCAGTATTAGCTTGTCTTACATAATATTGTTTTGGCTTCCTGACACAGAAAGTCTGCAGGAGAGTGAGAAGATCCCAGAGTTCCTCACGCTCAGATTGGCTCATCTCCAAGGCGCTGTCATCAGTGGAGGAAAGGTCTGCTACTCTATCTGTCCTGTCTATCAATAACCACTCATCAGTCTGAGGAAAAACAGTAGACAGTCAAACTAAAATACAAGTGAGTCAGAATCACGCTCCGCCTTGTTTTTTGCAGAAGAATGGTCTTCTCTCCATCACTCCTTACTCTGTGGATGACCTCTTCTCGGTCCTGCGAGCATGGTGCTGCCGGACCTCCCCTGAACCCAAGGACACCAGACTCCCGCGGCTGAGCTTGCAGTGCCTGACAGCGATGATCCATCTCCTGCACACCAGCAGCCCCGCGGAGCGGCAGGTGGAGATCAGGACCATCCTGGAGAACTACTTCCAGCTCCTCAACTGGAACCGTCCACTTAGCAGCGAGCAGGAAGACAGGCAGTCCTGGGAAGACAGCCTGATCTCGCTCCAGAGCCAAATGCTAAGTAAGAGCACATTCACTAAGTCTCAACTCTGCCTGGGTGCAGATTGTTCCCTTTTTGTTGATCTCTCTCAGTCGGTATGAAGGGCAAGAATCAATTGTCCCAGTGTGTGATAAATAAGATGAGTTGTTGTCACTTTTAGCTGCTATTCCTGAGATCCTGCAGTGCTCTGACAGACCAGTCCTTCAAGCTATCTTCCTGAACAACAACTGCTTTGAACACATCCTCAGACTCATTCAGAACAGCAAGGTCAGAGCAAGTCCTTTAAAAACATTTTGTGTCTGCTCTTTCATCTCTGTGCTCTTCTGAACCAGCCTCCCTACCAGTCTGTCACCTTTTTATTTGTCTTCGTCTATTTCCTCTGTTCTTCTCATAAATGTCACATCTGCCGCCTAATCTCTTTCTTCTTTGGTTACCTTGAAAAAAAAATCACAAATGTTCATGCTTCCATGTTACTTGTCCATCACTTGGCTTTGATAAAGAAGTACCCCTGCATCTGTTGAGAGAGACCAGGATCACACCTGTCTCTTCTGCCTCTCTCGGATGAGGTTTTTTTCTTTTTTGGTCTAATTGTCTTTTTGTGCTCTCTGTGTGTGCGTGTCTGCCTGCGTGTGTTTGTATGTCCTGTAGCTCTTTCAGAGCAACAGGCGTAGGCCGGAGCGTGAGGTTGTGTGTGACCTCACCACGCGTTTACTCACTGAGGTCGAAGTGGACCAGGTACTTTCCCCCACTCTGTGTTGCTATTGGACTGTCAGCAGGAAACTCAGTGCTCTCTCCACTCGTTAGCTGCTCTGAGCTATTTAAACAGGAAGCTTAGGGCAGGAAGTCTGGCTTACACTCATTTGTAAATACAGCAGGTAGCACTGGCTGTACATGGTAGTTGCCGTCTGGAGTTTTCTTTTTATCTGCCATCACACAAGTGTCCTGTCACAGCTCATCTTAGTTATTTCAGGCATTATGTTGATTTCTATCACAGATGTAAATAGGCTGAATTCCCTGTTGACAGCACTGAGCAATAAGAGCATGCTGTGTTTTTCATAGTGCATGAAATGGTTGCTTTCGGGTGCACGTCTTTCCTTCTTTTCCTCATGCGTTAACTGCTCTGACGTGTGACTGGTGGTGCTTGTATAAAAGATCTGGCTCCTATCCTGGAGTTTGATGTTGCTTCATTTCTCGCAGTAGTTGAGGATTGCCTCAGCTCTTTCTTTTTTTTTCTCGGTTTTCTTTGGTTGGCTTTGGGTTTTGCATGCTGAGACCTATCAGTAATTAACAACGGGGCGATTGTTTGGTGACTTGTTTAACTGTGTGCTTACTTTTAGTACTTAAGGTGTAAAAACTTTTTTAAAAAGGGCCGTTTAATAAAATTCCTCTTACAATTTGTAGATATTCGGTGCAAAATTCATGTGTTGAAGCTTTTGTGTAGGGTTTACTTTTAGTCGTTTGTTTTGGGAAATTTTGGCGCCAGCTCATGATGATGCACATTTCTAATCAACTGTGCCTCCTTTTTTCCATACAGGTCTGGGAGAAAGGGTCAGACAGTATTACAGTTCATGCTTTGGGAGTCCTCACAGCTATAATGAGTAACTCACCCAATGCTAAGGTAAAGCCCTCCTTGATATTCTCTAGACAAAAACCTGCATGTTCTCCTCAACGCTACAAATGTTACAATTCCTGGTTGCTGACCAGGAAAGTTACTTTCCGTTAATGTGGGGAAAGCTCATTGTATTTCCTTCCAATATATGGAAGTGTGCCAGCTAGCTATCCCCTGCAGAACAGCGCTCTCCAGCCTATTTCTGTCTCACTTCCCCTCAGGAGGTTTTCAAGGAGAGGATTGGCTACTCCCAGCTATTTGACGTGCTGAAGAGTCAAGGTCAACCCACCAAAAGGCTTCTGCAAGAGCTGATGAACATGGTGAAACATGAATTTTCTCATTTTCTTTAATGAGTACAGAGACAGTAGAAGTCAAACTGCCCCAGTTTAAATGGTGTTATAGTTATTAGCCTAACCTGTCTATATCTTATCCTTTATTTCTTATTCTCTGTCTTCTATCCAGGCGGTGGAGGGCGAGCACGCCCATGCTCATCACCTTGGCATTAGTAACGACCAGCCTCTGCTCCTGCTCCTGCAGTGGCTGCCTGACCTTTCAGGTCAGAGGGACCTGCAGCTGTTGGTTGCTCAGTGGCTGGCTACCGTTTGCGGTGGCTCCTTGTCTTGTCGCACGGTGGCTGTGGAAGCAGGCATGGTGGGGGCTCTGCTGCAGGTGCTCTCCCATCCCCAGTGTCTGGACAGGCAGTGTGCAGACTCCCTGCTGGGCCTCTTGCAGGACTTGGGCTCTTTATGTTTCAAACCAGAGGAGCTGAAGAGTCTCTTGAGACTCCTCAGGGTTGGCCAGGACAACGGCGCACTGGCAGGGAGGGTCCACCCCTACTGCACTCGCGTTATACGTGTGCTTTCAGCCATGGCAGCCAGAGAAGGAAAGGACAGTGCCTTGCAATATTTTGATCTTACACCCCCGATGGCAGGGATCATGGTGCCCTCAATCCAGCGATGGCCAGGCAGTGGGTTTGCTTTTCACGCTTGGCTCTGCCTTAACATGGAGTTCCCCTCTTCTCACTCAGACTTCTCCAACAACCGTAAACCTGCTGCCAGCTCTGGCATGGGTACTCAGCATGACATGGGAAAGGGACCACGCAGGAAACAGCTCTACAGGTAAAAGGACACATTTGTGAGCAATAAAGTAACAACACGATATAATTACATTTATTGCTGTGGACTAAAGTGCTTGAGTGAGATGCTTTTTTTCTGTAAAGTTTCTTCACAGCGAGTGGAACTGGACTGGAGGCCTTCTTCACCATGGAGGGCGTGCTGGTGGTGGCTGTTTGCACTAAGAAAGACTACATGGCTGTTGCTCTGCAAGACTATCCACTAGCTGACTCGTGCTGGGTGAGTGTGGACACCTTGGAGTATATGCGATGTAATAAATTTTTCTCTTGAGAATAAAGTTGCTGTGAAGTTTGAACTAATGTTCATAATGTTCACCTTTGTAGTATTCAAACTTTTACATTGTTTTTTTTTTTTTTTTACCATCAACACGTGTGTTTGCTGTGCTATATTCACAGCATTCAGTGGCTATAGTTCACATCCCTGGCCGCCGTCCTTTTGGTCAGAATTTGGTCACTATCTACATCGACGGGGAGCTGCGTAAAACTGCACAGCTTCGCTTTCCATCTTTCAGTGAGGTAACTGAAACTAGCATCGCATGTATTCTATTATTAGAGAGGAGTTCCTCCTTATCATTCTAATTCCTTCTCTTTGTACCCCACCCAAACCTGATCCTGAAGCCTTTTACATCCTGCTGCATCGGCTCTGCAGGCCATCGGACCACTACCACCACCACCTCTCCTAACCTGCCCACATCATTTTCCTCCACTCCGTCACCCGAGTTTGCCTTCCCCTCCCATGCCCCCTCCCTCATCCGTTCCCAATCCTTCCCAGCTTCCTTTGCGGGTGGCCGCTGGGGGTCCATAGGAGACAGTCCAGTGCACACAATCCCAGCAGGACTGCAGGACACAGAGTGGGGGACACCCACATCCCTGGATGGGCTCCTAGGCACTGCCTTCATCTGCCACGAAGCTCTGCAGCAAACCCAAACAAGAGCTCTACATGCTGCAGGTGCAAAATGTTCTTAATCACTTTGAGCATTAGTGTATGTTAGGATTCACCTCAACATACAATCAAATATTCAGGAAACCAGCAGTAAAGAAAAATCACAGTCTTTCAGGCGTGTTGCTGAAAGATTAGTCCTGCGCACACTGAAAACAAGAGTAGCTTTTTTACATGTGCACCGAGCGATGTTTGCATATTTCATGACCTACATTGCTTTCTACACTTCATCACAGGCCCCAATCACGTGTCCTTATTCAAAGTGGAAGGAGAGCTGTCTGAACTCAATAGCAAACTGCTGCTGTACTACACTCCACAGGTAGCTCACTGAAACTTTCATATTGCACTACAGTGCTTTTATCGGGCGAATTATAAACAGTACCGATTATTCCTGTTTATGCATGTGTGTGTGTATGTTTTCTTCAGGCCTTTAAAAATCAGATATGTCTGGACCTGGCACCCAGTCACCATTATGATGGCAGGCTTACAGGACACAGGGTAGTGAACTGGGACATCAAGGTTAGATATGAAACATTTTCCAATGTATTGTATTCATTTTGAAACTGTATCTCACATTTATGGCAAGGAAGAAGTGTTATAACTACCCATGTCATATGCCTGCGAACTCTTATCTATACTGTACTAATAATGCACTGAGCACGGCACAATGCTATTTTTGTCATGGTTTAATTTTCTTTTTCTTTTTTTATGATTGTGATTTATTTTGTTTTGTCCCTGCAGGATGTTATAAACGTGGTCGGTGGTATGGGGGTTTTGCTGCCCCTGCTTGAGCAGGTGTGTGAGGCTGAACAAGTTTACAATGGAGGTCAGGAGATCTCAGACTTGCTGGGGCCAGAACTCACTTCCCCCAGAGGCCCTGCTGCAATGCTGCTGCCGCTGAACAAATCTGCAGGTCAGTTAATCTTGACTTAATTTAATTTTTTTTACTGCTCTGTGTATTATATGCGGCTATAGCATACAATCAAATAGCTGGCTCGCCAAAATGAATCTCACAAATCTCTAGTAGCATATAGATAGTCTTCGATTTGTTTGCCCAGGTTTTGAGATATCTGCTTTTCGTCTTCCATTGCTGTTCTCAAGAAAGTCCCAGAGCCACAGGGACTGTGTAATAGGATCCCAGCATGCAACAATTCACTTTATAAAATGTCTTCCCTCCAGGCGTTATTATTTATTTGAAAGTAGAAGCATTTAGGAAACACAGCAACTCATCCACGAAGTTTTAGACCATGTAAAGTTACAGACGGGTGCATAAATGTTGCCAATTCTCTGTAAACTCAATAGCTGCAGACTTCTAAATCTCCTCTTGTATTAACATCAGCATAAAAACTGTGTGCCGGCAGCTTTGTGGCATGGGTTTCCATGGCCAAGCAGCTCCTGTAGGTGGCCCAGTACTTACATACACTCCATATAGTATACTTTTACTGGAGCGACTTTCTGTGCCTTGAAAAGCCAGAGTATGATCCTGGAACTATGTAAAATACTTTAAATGTAGCTTTTAACTAATGTGAGAATGAAATAACATTTAGATTCACTGTGCTGAGGTAGCATCTTTAATCTTTTTAAAACTTTAGTAAATTAAACCAAGCTGTCAGCATGTCTGCATACACTGCATGTATACTGGTCAGAAAGCATTGCATGTTTATAGTTTTCAAAGCTAGTATCACAAATATTCATTATTTCCTGTTGAATTTAGTTTAGATGTAATCTCTAAGTGACATTCTGACTAGTAGTAAATTAGAGCTTAGATGTAGTGCATGATGCAATGACAAGCAGGAAGTTGCAGACAAACAATAAGCATTGTGCAATCAATCCTAATAGGTTAAATGTCAGAATCTATGTGGGCATAATGATGAGAAGTCAGTAGGTCAGTTCACCTAAGACTGGAAAAAATGTAACAAAATGAAACATATAATCTGACATATGTCTGATGACTCATCCTGAGATTAGAAAATGTCAATAAAGTGCCTGGTAATGCGAAATGATGACTGCCGGTAACACCGGAAAAAATGATTTGCCCTATTTTTCTTCTCACAGAGGGCAGACTAGAGAGAAACAGCATCGCCGCGTTCCTGCTGATGGTGAAAAACTTGATTCGCCAACACCCCGTTAATCAAGAGAGCCTCTTGCACTGCCACGGCCCAAGCATCATAGGAGCCATGCTCAGCAAAGTAAGCTCCCCTCACAGCCTATCCATTCCATCGAGTGGGAACTAAATGAGAGAAGAACTGATTATCATCTGAAAGCGAATATCTGACCTTTTCCATTGTATTGATGCAGCGTAATCGCCGTGTAATAAACGGGTCTAGTGTTGTCGAAAACAGCAGCGGTTCTCTCAGAATGACAGTATCAAATGATTATGTGGGGCGAATGTATGGCGTTTGCTAGACTGCACAGTCACTCTTTGAATGAGAGTGGTGATAGCAGCTGTACGACCTGAGAAAGTTCTGAATTGCAGTAAGGGGTTTTTTTTTTTTGTGTGATATCTAAGGACAGAGTAGTGTTTACTTTTTCTCACAGTGACATGGGAAACATTAGCCTCATGTGTTGCTAAAGTCTCAGAGTCTCCTGCTTTAAATATTTTCAACAGTCTTCTTGTGTTTAACTTTACACAGGTGAACCTTTGCACAGACTAAGAGTGTATAAGCTGTAGTTTATTTAGTTTGTTCTACTAAAGTATGTATGGATGCACAAGTACATACAGGATGTGGCATATTTTATAAAGTGTAGTAGTATATGGGTAAAAAGCTCTATCCTGGTGCATTGTATGTTGTTTGATGTTCCAGATGTTGCACAAGTACTGTGGCACGCATACTTTTGAGGAAATGTCTGAATAAAACCACGATGAGCGTGAATGTCAGACTGATCAATGTTACATGTTTGAAAAGGGCTAAACAAAAACATCCATTGTCTTGCATCAAACAAAACACGGATTAATGTGGCGTGTTTCCGAGTTACAACAGTGCTGATTCAGCAGCCACAGTAGTGTTTTTTCTTCTTCGGGTCAGTGATAATTTCCTGTATGTTTAAGCTCTGAACTTGACATCATCATACAGTATTCTCAGATGTAATTCTTCAATGCACCTAGCTAGGTGTTGCATTCGGTGCCATCTTGGCCATATACACTAATCAGCCACTTCATTAGGCACATCTTCCTATTACTGGTTGGAGTCTCTTTTGCCTTAATTCTTTGTGGCATAGATTCAACAAGCTGCTGGAATTCCTCAGATATTTTGGTCTTTGTTGACATGATAGTATCACACAGTTGCTGCAGATTTGTTGGTTGCGCATCCATGATGTGACAATCCTGTTCCACCGCATCCCAGAGGTGAGATCTGGTGACTGTGGAGGCCAGGATTTGAGATTTTGTTATATGGCATGTTATCCTGCTGGAAGCAACCATCAAAAGATGGGTACACCGTGGTCATGAAAGGATTGACATGGTCAGCAACATTACAGGTAGGCTGTTGTCCAGTTTTAGTAAGCCTGTGCAAATCGTAGGTTTCCACTTCTTAGTCAAGTATCATTCAAAGTTTCTTAAATCAAGTAAGACATCTTGACCATTCATACTTGCATAAATGCATTAAGTTGCTGCCATGTGATTGGCTGGTTGAAATGCTTGCATTAACAATCGGGGGTAATTAATAAAGTGGCCAGTGAGAGCATGTTTAAATGTATAATATTAATATGTTCAATTCTGTACGGAAACTACTTCTTATTAGTGTGGCAGTGGCGCACAAACAGAAGTGTTATATACAGTAAACAAACTCTTCTTCTTCTTCTTCTTCTTCTTCTTCTTCTTTAAACAGGGCTTCATTCCCAAAAATCCAGATAAATGAAAGCAAACTGGACTTTAATACAAACTGCTATCTGCTTGTTTCTTCTGCAGGTTCCAGGCAGTATGATGGACATGAATGTTTTAATAGCATGTCAGCTGCTGCTGGAGCAGGTTTTCAATGAGGGCAACAGTCTGCTCTTACAGCATCTCTACCAGCACCTGCTCTTTAATTTCCGCATCTGGACCAAAAGCCACTTTGCTGTTTGTCTGGGTAAGCCACAAGCAGCCCCTTGTTGTGGAGTAATGCACCTGTGAACCTTTTAATGTCTGCCGAAGCTTTTTGTGCCCCTTTTTATACATGTGCACATGGTGGGAGGAGAAGGGTCAAAGCACAACAGAGTGGGGGCTGAATACATTAATGTCTCAAGTTCAGGCTGTGGGACGGGTTAAAAGTGAATCGGTGACTGATGCACCACTTCAACGCCCCGTGTTATAAATTGCTGCTCCTCTTCACCACAGTCTTGCATATTAGTTTGACATTTCTAAATGTCAGCCTGAAAGAAGATGACAAAAGTATTCTTTGTCTCCCAAAGCACACATACAATACCTGCAGTCTGTGATAAACAAAAGCAAGCAGCGGATGAGGAGGAAGTACGGCGTTCAGTACATACTGGATACCGTTCGAACGTACTACAGGTAAACCTTCTGTTACGATGATGAACGGTCACATTAGGTAAATGATTAGTGTATTCAAAAATACTCATCACTCTTATCGGGTTATTGTAAATGTGTTTTGTTCACTCCCCTTTGATACCAAAACGTTGTTCCTCAGATGGGATTTCATTTAATTCATTTAAATATCTTTGGTCACAGTGTGGAGAAAGATGGCAGCTCTCTGTCTGATGAGAAGCAGACGATTCAAACCTCTCTCTTCGCCTTGCTGAAAGATTTTCTTAAGTCTCCTACACAAGAGGAGCTTCACTGCATCCTTGCCTACGTTCTGACTGTAGGAGAGGAGCAGCAGGTAATAACTCGCATGTTTTACAGCTGTTTTTATTTCAGGAGTTTAAAATTGCTATCATTTGACCTTTTCCGTGTAATATTTTACTCCAAATCTCTTTTTCTTTATGTGTTGTTTTGGCATATCTGCACTTTTCGAAATGCTCTTCGTGCAACTTCAAACTTTACCCTCCCTACTCCACATTTCTTGGCTCTTTATCAGCCTCCTCCTTCACATCTTTCCCGTGTCTCTCTCACAGGTGGTGAAGGCCTTGGATGTGCTGTATGAGCTCTTGAGGAGCAGCCCTCCTCGCGAGCAGGTGCAGACAGTGCTGCTGGAGTGGGGCGTGGAGCAGCTGTACAGTTTGCTGCTCAATCCAAGCTTTGGGGATGAGGCCAGAGAGAGGGTCTTCAGGGTGAGATCCAGTCACCGGACCTCTGCTTAACATATTGCAATTTATTACACAGCAGATATGTGCATCGTACTGTAAACTGTGAAAATGGGATCCTCACAGTTTCCCTGTGGTTACCTTCTAGGTTTTGTACAAGATCCTCAAGAGCGAGCGTGTGTCGGAGCGCAACAAGCATCGCATTAAACTGAAGGATTTTGGCTATCGTGGACTTGTTTGCTGTCTTGATAACATTCCCGTAACCATGACCACTGTCCGGTGTCTGTACGAGCAGGTCCTCGCTACAGGTAATACAAACACAAGAGTTTTCCTTTTATGATGGAAATGGATGACAAAAAACATTTATCTGATGTTTAGATAAGAAAGCTGCACTTTAGCCCAAAATCAAGTGCAGTGGTCAGTCCTGTTTGTTGTAATGGTTTGAGAAAATAATATAATAATAGTTATAAAACTTTCTAATAATGACAAAATAGTGAATTAAATTGAATGTTTCACTAAAGGTTCATAAATGTATGTAAGATTATAAAAGCAGCAGGCAGAAGTCCAAAAAAGAAACTCTCTCCCAACTCTCCTAGCTTGCTTTTTCATGGCTCCCAGACCTTCTCAGATACAATATGCTGAAAAATTATTGCAGGTTTCTGTTTGAAAGTGATGCTGAAAACATATTGCCTGCCCCGGCCTTGAATCGACTAACCAAACAAACTGAATAAACAGCAATAACTTCCTTCCATTAAAACAAGCTTGAAATGATGAAACCGATGAATTAACTGCTGCTCCACAGATGCCAGTCCTAGTTTTAGAGACCTCCTGGCTGTGGCCTGTCTGTCCCATCGAGCTGAACTTACTGTCCGGCTGGACGTGTGTCGCAAGGTCAGTCTGCTTAAGAAGTCGTGCTCTTATAAAACTGGCTTTTTTCCTCCTGTCCCACCAAAAGATTTATTCTCAGTAATGAAAAGCTCTTGTTCTGTTTTACCCCAGCTCTTTCATCTGATCTACTCCAATGAGGATTATGTGAAACAGCTAGCGAAGCAGCCTGGCTGGCAGGATGTTCTCACCAAACTCTATGTGAAAGAGTCCTATGAGGCCCACGCCGCCACCATTGCCGACTCGAGCAACCACACTCCAGCGGAACCAAACTACCGGCCGCCTCTGCGCAGAGAGCAATCCCTGGTCATAGAGGATGCACGCACAGACATTTTCATGAACTACCGCACCTCGCAGGAAATCGAGGATGAGGACGAGGAGGATGAAGGTGGACAGCGGGACATCTCTGAGGGTTTCTCGGATTTATCACAGTCGCCTCCCAGTGGAGGCGGAGGCCCGCTGAAAAACTTCACAGGCTCCCTGCATTTCAAGTCGTTTGACTCGGTGGATCAGGGGAGCCACTCATCCTCTACCTCCAATCCCGTTGACATCGCCTCGTCTCACCATGAAGAAGAGGGAAGGGACTACCATCCGCTCTCCCCCTTTGGTACATCACCTTTTGATTTGGATTTGCCAGGTGTGGGAGAGACTGGCACACACACACCTGCTGGTAGTCTGACCAACACACCATCCCCTCTAGAGCACTACAAACCATTCCCACCGCTCAGACCAAGGAAGAGCTCCAGTTTGTCCAATGTGCTGGATGACACCAGCTATGGGACCGATCCTCCTACTGGAGACACGATCTCCAACACGTCCAACCCACAGGTATGCCTGCTCCCTTAATGCGGGTTTCACTGCACTTAGCATGTAAATCCAGGCTTTGAAATCTCGTTCCTTGTCTATGATATCTGATGAGATTTTGTTGAGCTCCATTTACCGGCTATTGTTCACACTGCAGCAGACCCCTGAGGAGGAGCTGTGCAACCTGTTAACCAACATCGTGTTCTCCGTCCTGTGGAGCGGCAGCGGAGCGGAGGGCGCGGAAGATGTGGTGTGGAGAGAGCGAGGACAGGTATTTTCTGTTCTCACCAAACTGGGCTCCTCCTGCCAGCTGGTCCGCCCTCCCGATGACATCAAACGCAGGTTAGTTACGCGGACTTGGAGAAGAAACGCACCAGGAGTGAGCCTGTCTTGTAGCTGAAAAAACAAACGAAACCACTCCTTCATCTGTATCACCTTATTGTAAATATCTAGAAGCACCGTCGTGTTATGCAGTGAATTATTCAAAGTCTGTTTGCTGCTTTGTGCATCAGCTTGTTGGAGATGATGCTGGAGTCATCACTGTCAGACCTGAGGGACGCCCAGGGAGCGTTCCTGCCTTTCTGTCCCAGTCTCGTTCGGCTCCTCAGGCTGCTGCAGGACTTCCTGTTTGCAGAGGGTACAAACAACCACGCGCTGTGGAGTGAAAAGGTATATTAGCTGATTCATGTAACAGCAACTCATTCAATATGGGATTTTATAAGTGTTGGATTATTGAAAGCCTGTATTTAACTCTCATAAGTGAAAAACACCAAAGACAAAAGAAAGTCCCTGACAAATTTGATTTAATATTTTATGGTTATATAAGCAAAATGAATCAATACACCAAGAAAAAATATGGTCTTAATAAAACCTTCCAATTTGTAGCCCAAATAATGTCACATTTTATCCTCTTTATCAGTCCAAATTCTTCAGTTTTAAACACAAAGCACAAGTGCTTAATTTAAGTATAATCAGCTTACTGAATATCCTCATGATTGTGGCTTATTTTATCTCTTTCTATTTGTGAGTTGAATTTCAAAATAAAATTCAAGCTAGTACAGATCAGTAATGTTAGCTTAGCTTAGCACAGGGTTTTTGGAAAAAGGTGGCCTGGCAGTTTCTGTGACTGCCCCAAGACCAAGAAACAGTCATAAAATTTGTAAATGGGCTCCACCTTCATGATCCTTTTTACAAAGTACTTATAATGTGTATATAATGTGTTTCTCACTACTGTGCAAGGTGCTCATCTCCCATCAGAATCAAACAGGGATGCACAGTTGCTTACCCCAAAACACCTTGGTTTGTAGACAGAGCAAGCAAGGAACGGCTGTGATTGGTAGAAAGCCTGCTCTGACACCATGCTGAGTCATGACTGACCCTTTGTTGTTTTAAAGGAAGATTTTATTATTTTGCGACGCAGCTACGTTAGCCATTGATTTTCTAATTTAACGCTCAGCGAGAAAGTAAATCAGTGTTTCCAAAAAAGATTCTCAGACTTTCCCTGAAAACTAGAAAAGTACTATATAAGAACTAGTCCATGTACTAAATGTGGAACTTGCTCTACTGAAGGGTGGAGAGGCGTTGTTGGGTGAGAAGTTTGCATTTGAATAACCTTTCAAGTCAGGCTGTACTGAATGGCTTTGGATTTTTATAGATGCTGCAAGGTGTGGAAACTGGTCTAGGCTTTGTCTTGAGTTCTTTGTTGACAGATGTTGTTGTTCTGTTGCAGATCTTTGAAGGGGTGGTGAACCTGCTGGACAAGTTAAATGCCTGGCATAGCACCCCTGGAAGTCCAGGAAACACTGAACTGAAGGAAATGGCCCAGATCGGCCTGCGTATCATCACCGGATATATCCAACAGCAGCACCCGACGGTCAGCTGCAACCACGATATTGTGCACCAACCATATATGTCAAATACTTTTCACCAAGCATGTCTTTCACAACACAAACACCTGGAACATGTAGAACTGTAAAGGTTTACAGTCCCTATCATGATAAGTGAACCCAGATAAAGATAGTTTTTAAATACCAGGCCTTCTATGGCTTTCTGTTCAAAGATATTGCAGTCATACTTTTTAGGGAGTGTTCTGTATGAAAGGGCAGCTTCTCTCTGAGTTATCACGGCTGGTGTGGCTGTTCTCGCTGTAGGTTAGAGAGAGCAGTGTTAAATGAACTGACCATAAGGCTTTCCATTACATGCTGCTGGTTTCATTCATCTCCTAAGTAGTGCAACTCCCCCTTTTGTCACTTTAAAGATATATTAACTTAATTGCACTTTGACACACATCACAATTTTTGGTCTGCTAAGGAAAATAAAATGAATCAAGTGTTTGGAGGTAGCCATGGATATTTGCTATGTACTCATGTGTGACTTTGAGGGACTTTTTAACCAGTTTCTTTTTAACTTCTCAATCAAATACTGATATAACACATAAAAAAATGTGTCTATAATAATAAATTAGTGTTCTTTTTTTCTTTCTGAGATCTATGTGTCTGTTTCCCCTCATCAGGTGAGTGAGATGGCCTATCTCAAGCTCCACAGCCTTCTTCAGACTGTGCTCTGCCTGAGCTGGGAAGAGGTGTGCTTCTTGCTGGGGCGGATTGGTTCCCCCTTGTGGCCTGGTGGTGCAATGGACAACACCAACTACGGACAGCCAGAGACCTTTTCCCACCTTGTGCCCATCGTGCGTACGCTACTTGACCAGCACGCCGACCCGGTCAACCTCCAGAAGCTCCTGCCCAACCTGCCCATCACCAACGGCAGCACCACCTTCGCCCAGGACCTGAAGGCCTATTGTCAAACACTGGAGTGGCAAGGCTTTTACCAGCAGCAGGTCAGTGTCAGCTGGAATGGGGCATTTAAAAATAGATGCCATTTATCTTTTGTTTAGGGAGTCTCGAGAACTTGTTCTCCTCACATAGTACGTTTAATAAAGCGTGCACTCTGATACGGCTGCCTCTGTTCTTTGTCAGGTTTGTGTACTTTAGGAATATTTGCGGTTTTATTTTCAGGCTTTACCAGTTACCTCCCGGTGGGTAACTGAGAAATCTAATGCAAAGTTTAAAAAAATAAGAAAAGCTATCACAAGTTTAGAAAAATGAAAAGGCAATCTTAAACTCCCTAATGTTGCCTGGTATTTTAGGCAGAGCTTAGTTTATGCTTGTACTTGCACCTTACATATTTCATGAACTGATGCCAAACAGACACACTCCACACTGAGCTCAGCATTGATTTATCATTGCGCTGTGTGACAGTGCGTGTTTATAAATCTGCTTCGTTTAGATTACTTATGTATACAGATCCCGCAGTACATTAACCAGTATGGCATAACTTTGGCTAACGTGAAACTTCCAGGGCGCTTTTTTTCATGCAGAAAGCGATCACATACCGCCTGTCTTAGTGTGTTTTCAGTTTATTTTTAGAACAGTTTGTTGTAAATGTGCTTACAGTTTTAGCATATAGCGTTAAAGCAGTAAGAATCTTAATACGCAGTGCTTAACGGGTTTATTAGACCACCAGACGACAGAAGGTTTATGCCACAGATGCCCTAAATATGATGTTAAAAAATGATGTTCCTGTCATGGTTAATGTGCAAGCTCTCTAATTGAAATGATATTTGATATTTAGTTTGAATGACTGAGTGTTACCTTGAATAATTTTTGACTTCTCAAAGATGACCAGTGTGCTGGCTGTGTGACCAAAATCAGTTTGCTTATTTGCTTTTATTAACCAGTTCAAAAACAGTGTCCGAGCTGGGAGACAATACCAGAGTATCATTAATTCCTCCATAAACTCTGACACTGTCTCTCTGTGTTTTAAACGTGCTGCGGTCCAGAGTGTTTTTGTCCTATCTTGCACTTATATAGCATATTGGAATCCTTTCCGTCTGGCTTCAAAGCCTTTCGTAGTACAGAGACGGCTTTTGTTCCGTTTAAGCTGCGTTTAAATGTGCTTTATAAACACATTATACTTACTTCAATTGTGCCTCTAGGTTCAGCCCACCATGGAGCAGTACGAGCTGGACACGTTTGGGAGGAGCCATGACATCATGTCCAATTTCTGGAACTCGTGCTTCGATGACCTGATGAGTACAGCCTTTAAACAGGAGAAAGAAAGATCTGACAGCAAATCCAAATTTCAGGTTAAGACCTTACGACCTTCGCACTGCAAACTGCCGAAATACAGTTTCTCATCATTTACTTCATGCATGTGCCTGTAAAAACAGGAGGCGATAGTGGATCCCTGCTTAAAGCGAGCCAGGACTGAGAACAACAGGTACCTCATTTGGCAGAAGCAGAGCTCCAGCCAGCAGGGGGTGGTGTGGCTGCACTGGAAGTCTCTCCGCAGGCTTTTGACCTGTGAGAGAGCAGCATGGGCCAACAGGTACGACAGCTTCTCTCAGCTCCGATCAAGATATTATGTTTAGCTCTGGATTTTTAAGACTAAGTTGTTATTGTGCTCACTACCCAAAATGTGCTGATGTGTACTTTTGTCTTTGATCCCAGAGTTCAGCCGGAAGTAAAATGGAAATTGTCCAATGCAGAGACTTATTCAAAGATGCGCCTCAAACTTGTGCCCAACTATAACTACGATCCACACAGCGAGGCCAGCGCCCTGCGGGATAACATGGGTATGCCACAGATTGTAAGCACGTGAGTGTTTTTTCTCAAAGTACAAAGCTGCACTCACCACGTTGCCATATTTCTGTGATTATCAGGAGCTGAAAGCCCCCGTGGCTCCGAACCCCTCCCACTGGCTGTTGCTAAGGAAGCGAAAGTAAGCGACATGGAGGACGATCAGTTAGGAGAAGAGGACCTTCTCTTTTGGGATAAGACGTGAGTTCTGCAGAGCTACTGCCGCCTTCTGCAGCAGGTTTCAGTATTAAAAAATGTAAAGTACAGACATCCACTGAAGCTGTACTTTTTTTCAATGCTTGCAGGGCGGAGGGAGAAGACGAGAGCCAGAAAGAAAAGCTGGTTCTGTCTGAAGACTGTGAGCTCATCACCATCGTGGCAGTTGTGCCCGGTCGTCTGGAGGTTACCACACATCACTTGTACTTCTATGACTGCAGCAGTGAGAAAGAGGAGACAGAGGAGGGTGAGAAATCTTTGCCACTGTGGAAAAAAACCCAAAACACGTGTCCAAGCTGAGGTGACTTATAAATGTGTCCCCCCAGGAATTGGGTTTGATTTCAAGCGACCTCTGTCACAGCTCAGAGAGGTTCATTTGAGGCGCTACAACCTGCGAAGGTCTGCACTGGAGCTTTTCTTCATCGACCAGGCTCACTACTTCATCAACTTCAAAAAGAAGGTGACGCCTGATTTAAATTGAACTGCTCAGGAAGCTGCAGCCATAATTGAAACTAAAGAGCTTCTGCTGTTTAGTTTCAGTGAAGTCTGTGCTTTTGAAGTTATGAAACTGTGGCTTCTGTGTTCTCTAAGATTCTCAATCTCTCACCCTTCAGGTACGAAACAAAGTCTATTCTAGGATACTCGGTCTGCGGCCTCCAAACCTCTTTTACTTTGGCTCCCGCTCTCCCCAAGAGCTGCTGAAGGCATCTGGGCTCACACAGGTCTTAATTCATATCATTTCTTTAGACATTCTTCAGACAGAGATCATCAATCATGTACATGTTTGTGACCAGTCCAGTATTGATGTTAACAGAAATGGGTGTGCAGAGAGATCTCCAATTTTGAGTATTTGATGCAACTGAACACCATTGCTGGACGCACTTACAACGACCTGTCGCAGTACCCTGTGGTAAGTGTGCCGCACTTGTATCTGCTACCACTGCTATCACCAAAGAGTTTGCACTTTCAGTGTGAGAAAATGCTACAGTGAGTTGTGTGTTTTTGTTTCTCTTCAGTTTCCCTGGGTCTTGTGCGACTACACCTCTACTGTTCTGGATCTGGAGGACCCTGCAGTGTTTAGGGATTTATCCAAACCCATCGGTGTGGTCAACCCACGTCATGCACAGAATGTCAGGGAGAAGTAAGTGGGTCTTGAAGCAGTTCCTGTGTTACCACCTGAATCGATAATATAAATAATTTGTGGACATATTTTTCTTTATTCTTTAGATATGAGAGCTTTGAGGACCCAACAGGCACCATTGACAAATTCCACTATGGCACACACTACTCTAATGCAGCAGGAGTCATGCACTACATGATCCGCATGGAGCCATTCACCACCCTGCATATCCAGCTACAGAGTGGAAAGTGGGTGGGAGTGCTGACTAGTTCAGGAGTTTCTTGAGTTTCCTGGTATCTTGTTTTCTCATACTGGTCTTTGTTGCCACTGTTTAGGTTTGACTGCGCTGACAGACAGTTCCACTCGGTGGCAGCAGCCTGGCAGGCTCGCATGGAGAGTCCAGCTGATGTCAAAGAGCTCATCCCAGAGTTCTTTTACTTCCCAGAATTCCTGCAGAATATGAACGGTAAAGAGTGCCCATATATATTGTCAAATAAATGCTTAAAGATGAAAAATATTAACTCATAGCTGCTCCATGTTATAGGCTTTGACCTAGGCCAGTTACAGATATCTCAGGAGCCTGTGACAGATGTTGTGCTGCCTCGCTGGGCAACATCAAGGGAAGACTTTATCAGAAAACACAAGAAAGCCCTGGTGAGTCTACACAAACATCCTGTGTCTCTAAAACTTACTCATGCATTTTCTTGTGAGAATATTTTGTCAAGGAAACTGCTAAAGAAGGTAATTTCTTTTATCTTAAACTCTAGGAGTCTGAGTACGTGTCCAATCACCTCCATGAGTGGATTGACCTGATCTTTGGTTATAAGCAGAGAGGCGAAGAGGCAGTGAATGCCCTCAATGTCTTCTACTACTGTACTTATGAGGGTAAGGCTAGAATAAAGAACAGGAAAAAGAGGAAAGTTTATTTACTTACTTTCTTGGTTGTGGCTCTTTCTTACATTTTTCTTGACCTCTGTGCAGGTGCAGTAGATCTGGATGCAATAGCCAATGAGAATGAGCGCAAGGCCTTGGAGGGCATCATCAGCAACTTTGGACAGACACCTTGTCAGCTCCTTAAGGTACACTCAAAATATTTCATAGCTTTTTTCAAGATAAATAATAATCTGACTTTTTGTTTAAAAAAAAAAAAAAGCAGCAGTGTTATAACACATTTGTGTCCAATCAGGAGCCTCATCCTCCTCGCATGTCAGCTGAGAACGCATCAAGGCGGCAGGCCCGTCTGGACACTCTCCCCCTGAATATCTTTGAACATATCCAAAAACTCCGGCCATTTAAAGAGGTACGGCCTAAAATCTTTTTAAACTCATTCCTCAACTCAAATAATGAATATTAAGTCATGTTTGTGTATGTGCATGTGTGTATTCGTGTGCTTTTGTGTGTGCCTCAGGTGGTAAGTGATGGCTTTCCTGTGGTCCAAGCTGTGGTACCAAAGACACAGACCCGCTCCATCACCCAGGGCTCAGATATACTGGTAAGGACCAAATTCATAACTAAACCCCGGCAGTAGCAACAGTAAGACATTTGTGTTAGATAGTAGAGAAAAGGCTGGTGTAACTTTTGCATTAAGATGATTTTTCCTCTGTAGGTGACCGTCAGTTCCAACGGGTTGATAGGGACACACAACTGGCTGCCGTACGACAAAAACATCGCCAACTACTTCACCTTCTCTAAAGACCCCACGATGAATAATCCTAAGTGAGTGCCAAATAATACACCCATGGGAACTCCATTTTCTAGGGAGAAAAGTGTTCGTAAATTACACGTAATAATGTCCTGATAAGGGCCCAACTGCAGGACTCTAGAGGCAGGTGTGGCAAGCAGTAAAAGAGCTCTATTTAAAAGCTGATGGCAGAAGAAATCACACTACCCTGCTATTTTTTTCTTTTCTGAGAAGAACCTCTGAAGTACAGGATCCTTATCTGACTCTACAGAAACAGTGACAAGATTACTTTGGGTATTTTGTGCTCAAATTTAAATGTTTTGCACTCATTGCAGCATTTCCCAGAATAAAGAAAATTCCTGATAGCTGGATGGAAGCATAACATCTGTCTGTCCTCATCCGTGATGATTCAGAGTTCTTTTTAATTTGTTGAAATTTGCTTTACTGGATCTTATTTTCAGCTTATCGTTTCCATGGATCAGGAAACAGGAAATAAATAACGATAAAAACCATTTGAACATTTTCTTTCACACAGGTTGTAATCTGCAGAAGTCGTGACAGTTTTATGGCGCATTATAAATCGTCCACATTTAGACCACAGCTTGCTCTTGTTGTTTGTTTCGAAGTCGCTTTGATCTTTTCCAATCCCGCTTTGTGTCCCAGAACTCAGCGTTTCTTGAGCGGACCTTTCGCTCCTGGGGTCGACATCAGCGCTCAGGTGCTGGTCGTGTCAAATGATGGTCGCCTGCTGTTCAGCGGGGGACACTGGGATTGCAGTCTCCGCGTCACCCAGCTGGCGAAAGGCAAGCTGGTTGGAAGGATCTGCCGGCACGTCGGTGAGTTTTGATGGTTATCTGTCTTAAAGGAATATTTGTATTTTGCATTGTTGCGCATTTATCTGTGTTTCTGTGTGTTCTTCGAAGACGTTGTTACTTGCTTGGCTCTGGATCTCTGTGGCATCTACCTCATCTCTGGTTCAAGGGACACATCCTGTATAGTGTGGCAGGTTCTACAGCAGGTGATCATCTTTATGCTTAGCCTTACTCACATGCAGCAGTTGTAAATTGCACTAAGAAGCAGCTGTGCTCAAAAGGAAGCCTTCATGCAAAGATTCTCTCCTTTTTTTTTTTGTCATTCAGGGTGGTTTCTCCAGCGGCTTGTCTCCCCGGCCAGTACAGATTCTCTGTGGGCATGACCAGGAGGTAACCTGTGTGGCCATCAGCACTGAACTGGACATGGCTGTCTCAGGATCAAAGGTCAGAGATGTAAAACTTGGACGTGTTAAAGATGAAATAAAAGTACTTATGCTAGTATTTAAGAGAGAAATTTAAAGATGTTATGCCAGCGATTTTTTTTTAAATCTCCAAAGTATCTCATTATTAAATTATCTAGATCTGTTTCACACATGAAGTCCAGGCAACGTTGAGAAAATCAAGCCAGGCTGTGGCCCAGTGTTGATCTTTTGCACATGTAGCATACAACAGAAGATAGTATGCTTCAGATGTGTTCTCACTTCTGGAAATACTCCGTTTTTTTTTTTATTAGAGTGCACAGAAGGCATCCTGCCAAGCTGCCCCTCAAACTTTTATATAAATAAATAGCATCAAATCCTCAGGGGGCAAACAGAAAATTCAGGTCTGCAATTCTTAGCTCTTATTATAGGAACTTAAACTTGACTTATGCCAAGAGTTGTCACCTCGCAGGATGACAAGATGACAGGTTTAAGCTTGAAGTGCTGTTGGATTTTTAATGAAGCTCTGCTTGTGCTTCCTGTGTGCCAGGATGGAACTGTGATAGTGCACACAGTCCGACGAGGCCAGTTCCTGCGAACATTGCGGCCACCTAACGAAAGCTGCATACCCGCCCAAATCTCCGGGCTACAGGTGGGAATGGAAGGCCACATTGTGGTACAGACGTCTCTGGAGGAACGCTCCAACAAGAAGGCACGTCCAGTAAACACATATTTTCTAATGCATTCAAATGTACGGCTCCTCTTTTCTTTCCGCTTATGTCACTATCCAAATGTTGCTTATTCCTGCAGGGCAAGTACTCCATTCATGTTTACTCAGTGAACGGCTGTCTGCTGTCTTCTTTCACCATGGAGGAGCAGGTGACTGCCCTCCACCTGGTGTCTGAATATGTCATCCTGGGAACTATGCAAGGCAACCTCCACATTCGGGACTTATACAGGTAAAGAGATTAAGAACCCAGTGCAATCTTAATTTAAAGGCTGTTAATTTATAGCATTTGCACAAAACTTTAGAGCAAAAAATGTTTGGTTCTAATTCTTCTCTCTTTTGCAGCCTGGATGCTTTGGTGACACCCCTGGCCTTGAGGGTCACTGTGAGGAGTGTGTCTGTCACCAAAGAGTGCAGCCACATCCTAGTGGGACTAGAAGACGGGAAGTTAATTGTGGTGGGGGCTGGGAAACCAGAGGAGGTGAGAAGCAGGAGTGGTAACTGTCAGATGTGAGAGAGTGGGGGTGTGGGAAGGAGGCTCTTGTATGCTAAATATTTGCTGAAAACAAGGTTTTTCTTATGATAATCGAGCCTTTTTAGAAGTGAAGATTAACGTGCTGGCCCTCCTCCTTTCAGGTTCGCTCAGGACAATTCTCCCGTCGCCTGTGGGGCTCCACGCGCCGCATCTCTCAGGTGTCGTCAGGTGAAACTGAGTACAATCCCACAGAGAATGCTGGCAAATGAGACGAGCGACAGTCGGGAGGAACCCTGAGGTCTCTGTAGGATGCATCGTCACACGCTCGCGAGACTCAACAAGGCCTCCTGTCCTTTACAAACTGTAAAGAATAGTAAACTATGCTCTCCAGCCAGCCACTTATCTCTCTGAGAGAGCAACTATACACTGAGCACTTTCTACTCTTAAATGGTTTTATATTTTATTGCATATTTCATTGATGGTTACACTGTTTTTAATCAGCATCATTCCAAAGAGTGGCCTTGTTTTGTGTATGGAGAGGAGCTCCGTGTTTGGGGTTGTGGACTGCTGTCGAACTGTATGTGCTCTGAGTCATATTTCAGGGGACTGACTCACTCTGATCCACATTCAGCCTCAGACGCAAAGACGAGTCGTGCTGGGAACTCCCCGGGCTCCATGTTTTTCTCCTTTATTGTCGGAGACACGGCTACAATCCCTGTACTGTTGAATGTCCCAAAGCCATTCTTTGGCAATGGCAACTTCTTAAAACTCCTGAAAACTTGAAAAAAAACTACAGTAGATGTTGCTTGAGATTCCCAAATTGCAATACTGGTAATACCACAAAAGGTCAGATTTTGTAAAGAGAGACACGGGGTAACAAGACTAGTATACTTAATGCCGTTTTATAATGTTTAGTGGTTGAAAGATCCTTATCCAAGCACCAGAAATACACCAGGATACCACATTTTATAATCTCTGCATTCCTTAAGGCTCTAGGTAATGTAAGACTGTTACAATTAAAGCAATAACTGCTTTAATGGTCAAGTATGTGAAGTATATTCATTTTTTAACTATGTGGCGCTTGGATGCAATGAACCTCAAATGCAGGGCCCTCTGTTGCCTTATTCATGATAGCGTTAAGGCTTTTATAAATTCTTCTGGAATGGTTTTGTTGCTACTCTGTTCACCATATGACTGTATTCCTGTTATATTTGAGCTCAAAAGTGCCTTTTTCATCTAAGGCCTTGTATAAACACTGAATCTAAAATCACTATATGTCAGATTTGTTGTCCTTGCTGATCCATTTTGAACACACTTTTCTACTCCACTGTGACTCAGACGTGGATTCAATGAACTGTTGACTGTGCTGGTATTGTAAAACCGCTTATGAAGTACTGAGAACATCTGAAACATGTGTGTAGAAAGTCTGTCAGTGAGTTTTAGAGGAATTCACTTCCTGCCAGCTTTTTTTTTTTCCTTTTTCTTTTTTCTTTCTTTCTTTTTTTGTAATACTGCGGTTGGAACAAAGTCGATGTTTTGCAGTGTCATTAGTGGGAGAAAGACAAAGGGAACTATCTGGGTGAAAGCAATACCCATAATATGTTGCACACATAAAATGACTAGTTGTCAGAGATTCTCTGAATAAATGCATAAGAAATGTAAAGGAAACTATATTTGAAATGAAATGTTTACTCCTCATTTCAACCTTTTTCTCCACTGTTTGATTCAATGGGTTCAGACTGTCTAAAAATCATATTTACACAGCAGTAAGATAAGGATAAATGTATAAGCTGTGCATTGCTGAGACAGTCTGTGAATAAAACACGTCTTGCAAATACTGATATCAGTTTATGACGTTTTGCTCTAACCAGGGCGAATGCATTATTTCACACAACTATGCAGTAACTCTCAGAGACTTTGAATTCATCAGTTTTAGATGTACGTCTTCGCAGTCCTTGCAGTCCCGATCCTCCATCTAAAGCACTTTTGAGTTGTGCTGTATTTTATGTATTTTAATTTTGGTGTTGAAATCATTCAGATTCAAAGTGATCCGTAAGAAACGCCATGTGTGTTGCCGTTGGACTTGATCCATTTCTCTTTCCCACTGTTATTAAGTAGTGGCATTGCTCTAGTAAAAGAAACGTCCAGCTCCTTGTAACTTTAAAGACATTATTGTTTCTATTTGCTCTCAGTGTGAGAAGTTGTATTGCTCCTTCCCGATGCTTACTTCCAATCGTCTTATTTTCAGTGAACAAACAGCCCTGTCACCTGAGGTTGATCAGATGATAGGGCTGAAAAATGAGCTCTGATTGTGCGTGTGTGTGTGTGTGTGTGTGTGTTTGTATATGTGTGTGTGAACCCCAGGAGGAAGGAAACTGATCTGCTGCCACAATGTAGCTCATCCAGCTCCTCCATAATCCCAGCCTTGCATGCGTCTGTGATGTTAACCCTAAAAGAGTTGAAAAGGTCACAGCAAGCAAGAGCGCATTTACTTCAAGTGACTTTGATCTCCTGGTGGGCCGAACATCCTGTCAGCCTCCCCATAAACGCCTCTATGAGGTACAATTCAGTAGGGTTGGGAGGGGGGAGGTGGGTGGTAAAACTGACCTGTGGACCTCCAGTCAAATACAAACCACAGCACAGTGAATAAGGGAAGTGTAGTAGGAGGGTGCAGTTGCTCTGATGTGGTCCCTCTGACAATGGAGGGAGGGATTAACACCTCGCTCCCAGTTGCTGCCAGAGTCTCCGTCTGACCTCTCCAGACCTGAGGGCAGGCGGAGGGGATGGATTTCATGATATGCTGCAATTTTGGTGTTGTTCAAGGTGTTCCTGCCAAGAACCGCAACAACTCTCAAATAGACCTCGCTTAAACGACCTCAGATCCCATCCCCCGCGTCCTCCTCCTCTTCTTTTTTTTTCCTCCACTGGTCCATTTCACCTTGGCCTGTGGAGAAAAACTTCATTTTCTTTCCTTTTTATAGCTTCCTTATCATTCCCAGTCATGTATAACTACAAACAAACTCTGATAAGCAGTTTGTGCTCCTACAGCCAGATAATGCAGACAAGTGAAGGGGGAAGACACTGATGAAGACTGTTTATTTTTCTGATTTATGATAAAACTGGCTTTGAAGGATGGTTACTGAATCCTAAAAAAAACAAAACAAAACTTTTTTTTCTTTAGTTCCAGTAAGATAATCTTATTGGAACCTGTTCCCCATAAAAATAAACTTTTAGGCTTGTTTTCATAGTGAGGCAGAATTGTCTGCTGTAACTACAAACTCACTTACATTATTTCTTTTTAAATCAGTCTTGAAATAAACTTTATTTTTCTTCGTATTGCGTTATTTAACAATGCATGTATTTTTAAGAGCGCTTATGCGATTCACACTCTCATAGTGCCTCAATTAAAAACTCATAGAAGATAAAAATCTACTTGATTTTGCAGAGCAATAGTAGCTCTATGTTGTGGTGGTTTACACATTCACCTAACAAACTAAAGTTCCTTGGTTCAGTCCTGGAAGGAGACGCAGATTCCGAGGTTTGAGTCAGGCAGGGCATCCGGCGTAATTTCTTTTTTTTTACTTAAACAAACATGCAGCCGAAAGTAGTTTTAATAGGGTGAAAAAAGAAAAGAAAAGACGTGTTTAAAATATAGACTTAAAACTAAAAAAGAATTCCTCAGGCAGATTGAGGTTTTTGCAGTGCGGAGACTTTATCAGTTGTTATGAATGAACGCAAAGGAGATCCCTGCTTGTCTCAAATATTTTTTTGGCATTTTATCAGAGGAGGAACATCCTCAGTCTCCTCTTATCCCTCGGCAGGCTTTGAAGTGCAAGTAGTATTGTGTCTGAGAGATCTTTCCATTTGTTTGCCTCTGAAGTCTCCGGGCCCCCTGCGATGCGCTCTCTAGAATTTACAAGGTGTGTAATTTAGCCTGGATTGGTTTTCTAATCTTTTGAATTACTTGAGATCAAACATGTACTTCTTCTTAAGGGCGCTTGTTTGATTCGCATGCCCTCTTTTGTTTCCGATAACAACTGATCACAGCTCTTTGCGAGCATCCCTGTAGGGCCTAACGCAGTAAAACGTGTTCGGTAAAGTCCTGTTTTTACGCATTTTTCACTAGGATTACTCAGCTTCAGATAAAAAAAAAAATGTATCCAACAATGCAACATATTTCATATCTGCATGCAAAGTCTTATTTTGTTGGCTAACTGACAAAAAGAGCAGACAGATAAATGCAGGAGAGACAATAATTACAATAAAATTTTGAAAAAATTTTAAAAAAAAATATCAGTACAAACAATCTGAACAGTCTAGTCTATAAACTAACACCTTTATCCAATTTATTAACACGACTTTTTATGTATTAATGTCCCATTATTGTGTTTAATACTGGAAACCTTGGGGCTGCTCTTTTTAAGCTAGTGCACTGAGCCTGTAGACTAATACGTGTAACATTAGATACATAACATTGACACACAGTCGATAACAATGACGGTTACCTTTACTTTTCTCCCTTCCTGTATCGTCTGTACTTGTTACCGAGCTCAGGGATGCAGCCAATCACGAAGCCGCACTGAAAGCCGAGTAGATGGGAGGAGAAAAGGCTCCTGAGAACTCGCAGCAGATTCATCTGTTGCAAAGCTGCAGGAGTGTGGCAGTTGGTGCATCCTGTGAGCTGAGACAGAAGAAACTTTGTTTTAAGGTAACATTGAGGAATGCACTGACACAGGCGCGTCGGGCTGCAGCGCTACGCGGAGAAGACCGAAGGATTATACACATTTTAAAACTGCTTCCTCACGCGTAAAAACCCTCATCTGGTTTCTGGACTATGACCGAATTCTCCTTTCTGTGGAACCAGCACGTTTTAGGACAAGTTGGTGTGTTTAACTAGACTCGGGGAATTTGAGGTTTTGGCATTTTTCATGCCATTGTTGGAGGCTGCAGAGTGAAAACACTGTTCTGTGGACGATTTTGAGACGCCCCTGTGTGTCGAAGCCAAAGAGGATTTTGGAGCTGAAGACATGAAACCGTTTGTCGTATGCGCATTTCTGCTGTTAAAAGTAAGCTACAGTTTATTACCGCTTTACCACCACATGAGCTAAAGTCAGATTTTCCCGTTGACGTGTTTTATAAGGCGTTTCTTACTTATTCCACACTCGTGGCTTTACATCAGGGGTCTGTTTAAACTTGAGTAAACTTAATCCAGCTCAGTTTGCACCATTGCTCCAAAAGGAAATCTGTTTCACAACACAGAACCGTACTTCATCAGGGCTGTCACACGGCACATGTTGGTGAATATAAGCGTCAGAGGTGATAATAGAGTAAAATTAGTGCGTCTTTGAAAGGCTCTCTTGACAAAAGTGGAATCGAACGACTTATTTTTTCTTTGTAAACATATTTCTCGGATGCACATGCTAAGACGAAGCCTACTGAAGACCTCCTTGGTACTATTTCTTCCTCTTCTTGTGTTTTTTTTTTAATTGCAATCTCATTGTTTTCCCACGAAACTTCGCATTTTAAGCCCATCACACCGGCTACAAGAACCAAACACATAAAACAGGAACAAAACCCAGGAGCACACTATTTATCAAGATTAAGCAGCCACATTAAAATAAATGGTGTATGATTTAAAGACAGATTATAGTTTCGGTGGTGTTTGATAGCATGCCATTAAGCCAGGATCAGGGCGCAAAGAAAGCCTCTACCTCACAGTTGCAGACAATAATTTGACACTCATCTACCTGAAAAAGCCCATGGGGCTTGTAGTCCTGTCTAGACATGCTTTTTAAGAGTCAGAGCACTTTTGTTAGATCAAAGTGGTTAGATAAGGCTTTAGTTCTAAAAAAGATAGGTATCTCTTTATAATTATAATATCAGTAGGATTAATTTGTGGAATTTAAGATGCTTTTCATTTGGGAAAAACACAAAAGGAATCTTTTGTTTCCAAAAATATTTGTTTCATTAGTCACTATATGATTCAGTGTGGAAGTTGGGTGTTTTTCTACTACCTTAACTCTTTCTACAACACATTTTCCATTTAGTTTACTGTACGCGTTGATACATTTGTTACTAGTGGCAGTTCCTGGTGAAAATGTGGCCTAGTCTATTACTACTGCTGGGGTCTGGATATCCGGAGCAAGGCAATTATCATAATTTTCTCCCAGTTTGTGGTGTTTGTGTGTGTGTGTGTGTGTGCATGCAAGGGGGTAGTTTAGTGTGTTCCCACCCTAATTTGAATTTCCACAGAGTAGGCAGACTTCAGGATCATTTAGTACTTTTAATTACCTCATTTACTTTGGTGAGAGTTGAAAACGGTTAGATGAATAGTTGGTGTATCTGCGCGCGCTGTCTCGTTTGATTTAGGATCATGGTTGTGGTGGAACCCTGTGTCCTTTAATTTGTCCCTCATGCTGCCTGCATACTGCACCAATAGCAGGAATGGGCACAGATGTGCTGCTCAGACAGGTTTCCCCTCTCAGCCTGGGCTGTCTCTGCTGAAAGACCTCTCACTGTTGTTGCCACAGACGGATTGTGAAATATCACGGGTCAGCATCTTCACAGGCGAAGAGCAATCTTTTCATGTTTATTTTCACACAGATTAGATTAACAGTGGAAACTCACATCTGCAGGCTTTAAAAGGGAGCTCACTTCAGAAAATGTTTCAGGCAGAGAGGCGGCTGAAATGAATTGTGCGCATGTGTGTTTGTGTGTGAGATCCCCGATGACTGAGTGACTCCAGCAGCCGTGGAGTTGAGAGCCCCATTGAAAGCTGTGCTCCTCGGTGGTCCGTCTGTTCTCACTGGGGAATCCCTTTAGATTGCAGCTTCTTACCTTGATGGAAAAAGCAACTGCAGCAGCTTGGTTCCCCTCAGACTTTACTCAGACTTTATAACCCCCCAGTACAACAGATAAGACCCAGAAAACTCTGAGGGAAATTAAACTTTGCTTGAAAAGTGAACATAATGACAAGGTATGACGTTGTAGCCACACAAGCTGTAGCAAGATGATTAACAAGAGCCAATAATTAAATGGAATCAAGTTATATACATGTTTAGAAAGCAAAGCGTGTCAATTTATGTGGCACAAAACTAAAAATAACAGTTTTTGCCTTCTGAGTTTACAAGCAACAAATAATTTAGAAGATGTTTTTTCTGTTATTATGTCTACTTTCCAGACTTAAACAGGAAACTCATCATTGTCCTGTAAAAATTTACTCCTCTTAGTACTTAAAGTTCAATTTACCCTTAAGGAGTACTATTTAATTTACATTGAGTAGATATTTATTCCTGTAAGGAGTAGATGTCAGGTCCTGCTGGTTTCCAGTGTGGCATGAATGAAATCTTTCATTGTATACTGGCGACCAATGGGTTAAGCGCCAAGCATTTGCCGGCGCCTGCTCTCCGTACAGTTGGCCCCCCAGCCAAGTTTAATGAGTTACACCAACCCAGACCCACACCAGGCGTTATAAAATGCTACAAATTCAAGCTCGAGGTCAACCCCCCCCCCCACACACACACCAAAAAAATGCCAAAAAACAAAACAGAGCCACTGTCACTAAATATTTACCAAAGGATAGATTAAGAGGCCAAAAGGTTATTAAGCACTTCATCAGTCACATGGAGAGGGCAAACCAGGGTTACCAGGATACCTCTGTGCTACAAGTTATTGTGGTTATGACGCCAACTCAGATATCCTGATTCCTCCCTGCTGGATCCTACCACCCCAGTCTCCTAAATGCCTCTGTTCTGGGTTGTGTGGCTGGTGTTCAGATATCATCAGGCTCCTCTGTAAGCTGTGCGGTCAAACCGGCTGTTGTTTTTGGAACGAGTCGAGCACAGTTTCAAAGCCGATTCGCCTGTATTATCAGCACGGAACATTTTGGGTTTCGCGACTGGAGTCGCACCACTGTGTGTGTGTGTGTCCGTGCGTGAGTGTGTGGTTTTTATCTGGGGGGCTTTTGTTGGAGGCTACAGGTTCACACATGTCTCCTGAGTGTCTTGGCAGACTTCAGAAACAAAGAGAGACATCATTGAGGTTGTTTAGCTGTTACTTTTTTCCTTTGCAGGAGGTTAGTTGTTAGACATCTGTTTGCTCTTGTCAGGCCCCAGGCAGAGTAGGTCAATCTCCCTTAAATATGTGTGCATGTTTAAGATGCCGTTGCATAGAGCCTGGAGAAGGGGGTGTTAGTGAAATACTGACCTTCACAGACACACCTGCGGGGCTTGGTGACTTCAAAGCGCTTCTCTTACCCAAACGGACACTCTCATGCTGAGCAGCCTTGGTTAACTGACACTCTTGCCTTGGGCCATCTCCTTTATTCCCAGTCACCGCCACAACCAGTATAGTTGATTCACACAGAGAGCGCTCATTCACACAGAATTTAGAATGAGTGGAGAGGCAGAAACTCAGATTTTTTCTTTTACTTCTTTCACCCTCCTTTTCTGGTTGTTTTACTTGCCCCTTTATGTTTCATTCTTTTCAATGACCTAAAGCCATGTGATTAAATCCAGCCACTCCTGTCAGGCACCCTCGCTCCCTGCACAAGCTGTTAGGAATGTCTGATCTATTCGTCATGTCATAACTCAAGCTGGGACCTCCATTACCCACTTGCAGATAAGGATTAAGAGCACTTATGGGTGAAAACCAAAGCAGATCGAAAGATAAAAACAAGG